TATAAATTTATTTTATTAGATATGATTAAAAATCTGTTAAAATTTTTAAAAAATTAAAACCATTAACACTGGGAAATAAGACAATGCTTGTTTAATAAGATATTAAAGCTGCACCTCAATGCTTTTATACACAAGAATATAACTTGCTCTGGCAACCAGACTTTATAATCTAAGAGTCACCCAGATGATAATGGTTTGATTATGGTTATGTCATATTTTCTTCCTTTTAAAATACAAGAGAATACTTTATTTTTGATATTGCAAGAAGACATCTGAGAGATTTAAATGCTTCAGATTAATTTCCTATTCTATGATACTGTTATATTAAGATTTCAAAAGTTCAGATTTTATCATTAATAGAATTCTGATACTGCTTGGGTGACAAGCTCAGGATTTTAAATTTTTCTTGGTTGTCTTCTAAATATAAACTTAAACTTCTCATTAGGCCAAAGACAGTCTGTCCAACTTGGACCTGGCTCTCTCTAAACAAAAAATATACACATCCTTTAACCCAAATCTGTAATCTTGCTAAGACTCAAAGGTATGAGCCTAAATACTCCTTGTCTGCTTTTCTACAATTTGGATTTCAATACTGATTGGTAATACTAATATATCTATGTCCTTTTATTTTATTTAATATATTTTATGTCCTTTTATAAAAAAAGAATTCATATAAGCCTCGGAGGATCAAAAGAAGCCATTGGATCCAGTTCACAGAGGTCAAAATGACTCCAGGTAAGTACAACAGTACAGCCTGAGTTTCCAAACTCCTCCCCTTCCCAATTACTAAGGCTGTGGGCCTAAAGGTTCCAAATAAGTCATAATTTTAACTTTGTCTCTAGTCTGTCTGCTTCAGCAGGCTTCCACTTGGCTGGCAGACACATCCAAGCGTCAATTACTGACTGCAATCTACCCCAGAGGACCACAGGCTCTAGACTTGCTGAAGGCTGATATGATGGGGACCAGTCCAACCAAACATAACTGTTCCCTGTCTCTACAGCCAGGTCAGATGTCCACATACTTCTGATAGTAGTCCACTGCCTGGGTTTGACTAGGCTCTTGGCCTCCTTAGGCTCTGATCGTCTGTGCCCCATTTCAGCTTGAAGCAGTTATAGAAGAGAGTATATCGTCCCCCCAGCCCCCCAAAACAGGCTAAAAGGCTATGTCAAAGAAAAACTCCCTGGTATAGGGGACAAAATGTCTACCTATAATGCCCATTGATATCCTAAAAAACTGGGCCCAGAGTTGTCAATTAATAGATTTATTAACTAAAATGGTTCTGCAATAAGATAAGACACTTGGCCTTCTTTATGCAGAACCAAAAAGGTATTATATGACCTTAAGAAATTATTATTTCTATATAAATCATTCAGGGTTATAATGTGGCTGTACTTAAAGATGAAAACTACAGGGCCTGAAAAAATAACAGTACCGCCGGGCGGATCTCTGTGAGTTCGAGGCCAGCCTGGGCTACCAAGTGAGTTCCAGGAAAGGCGCAAAGCTACACAGAGAAACCCTGTCTTGAAAAAAACCAAAAAAAAAAAATAATAATAATAATAATAATAATAATAATAATAACAGTACCAGAATGTATGTCTAGCCTCCTTGTCTTTGCTACCATTGGTAAGCTGTAACTGATTAGGAAAACTGTACATCCAGATTTAACTTACATATGCTCTCAGAGTTAATTTAGATATACCTAACAGATTTTGTTCCCCAAGTTCTCAAACACCTTTGGAGATCTGAGAATATGGCATTTAAAATAAATCTTTTAATGATAGAGAGACATGTCAGCTCCTGGCAGCATCCTGTATCTTCTCCAAGATAGATGGCCACAGAAGAACTTCCACTGGCCACATAGTAAAAAGCTGAGATCCTGTCCAGACTGTAAATAAGTGGAACAATGGAGGACTGGTTTGCCCCATGCTACAAAGTCAAGGTGGATCAGTCTCCCCAAATTCCTACTCCACAAAAAATAATCTGTCAGATCTTCTGGGCTTAGCAGCTGAACAGGTGCTGCTTTTGGGGCTTCTGTCCCCCAACGGCTACAGAGAGAAGATTTGGGATTGTTGCCTAGGTAGCTGGAAAGCTGTCTCACTTCTTCTTAAATTTATCCTTCTAGATCTGACGATGCTTGATGACTAGGGCACCAGTTTAACAGTCCCAATCTCAAGGCTACAAGCTCCTTGACAGCTCTTAGGAAGTTTCCTGTTAAAAATACAGACAGGTGTGCCTCATTCACAGACTTCACGGTACAGGATAGACTGGTTTCAGACATAACTGGAGGTTCAAAGTTTTAATATTGATAAATGCAGTTTTGATAAACTGATACAGCATTGACTACAAACAGTTCTTAAGAGTCCTTAAATTTCTATGAATTTTTAATCCTTTTGCCATGACACCAGGATGTAAATCTGTTCCAGCTGTCTGACAGATACCTGCAGGCTCCTGGGAAAAGTTCTGCTACAGTCTCCAGAGCCCATTTTGACCCCACCCATTATCCAGCATAATTTGCAGTTTCACTCTTGCCTGGGCCAAGGCCAATCCACAGAGGATCCTCCAGATACACCAGCCCCTGCACCAGCTCTGAGGATACCAACCACCAACAGAGGACGCCAACTGGGATGGATGCACCCCCACCTCCAGAGAAACAACAGATACGATGGTTCATGTGCTCTTAAAAAACACATCATCCCTCAATTCACTGTGGGTACCACCTCTCCAGGCTCAAACATGCACCTACCCAGGAACCAGAACATGGTTTTCCAAGATGTCCCAATAAAGAGACATCTTGTGTCTTACACACTCACCCTTGCCTCCTCTGTATAATCAGGGCACTTCTCTGTTCCATTCTTTCTGGCAGTTACCACTCTTCCCATGGCTAGGTCCACTGATGAGGCCAATGATAACAATCTGCTTTTTCTCCTAGCAACCTGCCTTCTCAGCTCCCCCAAAGAACAGATGCCTGAGGTCTCCACGCCTGAGGTCTTCACGATGACAGCCAACTGAATGCTTCATCACTCACATCTCCCACTGTGCATGACCCGACTCCCAACGTCCCCCAACCACTTCACTCCTTGTCAGCAGAAGCAGTCTCGAGAATTCAGCGCCCTTATTCCCTCACTTGCTACCCAGAACTCGCCTTTTTACAATAATCAAAACAGAGGAATGTTGGCATTCTGGCCCACCCCTTGGAACCCGCCCCGAGAGTCCTGACGTAAGGCCTCCTTTGGGGAAAGACCCTTCCTCCCTTTCTTGCCATGAGGTGTGAACATCTCTGCTTTCCCTCTTTCTTTCCCTCTTTCTCTCCCCCTTTCCCTCTATCTCTCTACTATAATAAACTTCTGTGGATGCTGTGCCTGGGGTATGAGTAACTTTCCACCGTGCCATGCTGACTGCCACCATGTCTGCATGGCATGTCTCCCTCACCCACTAGGGCATCTTGGCCTCCCACATGCCCTATCATTACAATCAGGACAGAGCATCAGAGCCTCCAGACACACAGAAATGGCCGCCCTATTCCTGCAATGTAGACAGGGAGTTGCTGCTACCACCTTTAGCACCTCAGCAAAGCAGAAGTCACACCTGAACTACAAGAATCAGAACCAACAGGCAGAGCCAGCAAGGACTCAGCACACAAGCAGCAGGGGAGCAGCGGCGGACGTGCAAAGCCTGTGACCGTCTAGGTGCCCTGCAGCAGGTTCACGCTAGCCACTTCACTCCAGGAGCGAAGCCAACGCATGTGCAACTCCACTGGCCTTGGACCCCTCCTCCAATGAAAACTTGGTACTTCACCCCTTTACACATGGAGTGGACTTTGAGAAGAAACCCAGGCAAGCAAGGCACTATCCCACAAGAACAGAAAGCCAAGGGCTGTCCAGGGAGGAGCTGCTGTGCTCAGACAACTGATCACCGGCTGGTGGCGGTGCATGTGTAAGACAACATGGATCAGCAGCAGTGAGTCCTAAGTAAGCCGGGCTGGAGCAGGTGCACCTCTGGAGCCTAAGCCACCCACATTGCAGTCTGTTCTTACACTGTCCAGCACACGCCTGTGCTGTGTCACACGCCTGTGCTGTGTCACACGCCTGTGCTGTGTCACACGCCTGTGCTGTGTCCCACCGCGGCGTTGTAGAACACAGCCTTACCAGGTTGGAGAACGTCAGAATGCCGTTGTCTTGGGTCAGGAGGTTGGAACGAAACACACCACCACTGAGGGATAAGAGGACCCCAGGGAGGGGCTGGTCATCTTCAGCTTTTATCTAGGAAGGAAGTAACAACAGGACAAAGTCAAACTTAATAACCACAAAGGCAGCGCTTCCCAAGGGAGCAGGGAGTGGTTAAGGACAGGGGACTCTTCTTCCTCCCACAAGTCGTGGTAAGACGCTGTGGAAGCTTCCAGAACTCTTTCTATGGCCCATATTCACAATGCTGGTATATCTATCGAGGGGCTGGGGGCATGCTGGGCTGGGGGGGGGGCAGAAATGGCGGGCTGTGCATGGAGCTCTGCAACTTGCTCTCAATGGCTCACCCAGTTCTGACATTCCCACCTTGCAGCTGTTTAACTGATCAGAACACTCTGGAGCAGAGGGGGCCAGCCACACACTTCTGAGGCACAAAAGGGGAGACAACCAAAATGTCCCCAACATGTACACCTTTTCCTGAGCAATCAACTACCAGGCGCTGCTGTTACGGTCTGGTGTCAATGTCACCACAGGCTCACAAGTTTGAACACTTGCTCCCCAACTGGCAGGTGATGTTTTAGGAGGATGTGCAAACTTGGGGGGTGGGCCATGACAGAGGATGGGACTGGCTACCTGTAAGGATTCTGTCCTTAATTATGTCATCAGCCTGCAACGGCATCCCAGCCTAAAAAGCAGGTGGGCCCTCTGTGTGTCCTTCTTTCCTTTCCGCTCCTTCCTTCTGTCTACGCCCCCCCCACCCGCCTCCCTCCTCCCAGTAAAGCTTTAAAAATCTTTTATTCTTTTTATAAAGATGTGATTCTTCCTATCAGCACTCTCCTCCGCCGGCATAGCGGCCAGCAACAAGCAGCGCCATTTAACCAATATTGGTGCCGTGACCCGGATACACCACCGAGCACCGAGGACCTGCTGTGACCGCTGCCTCCTCTTCCCCCATTCAGACCGCGAGCACGCATCCCTCGCCACCTCCACTGGACCCCCACACAGCTACCACTGCCGTCACCACAGTGAGTCTGCCATTCTCGCGGCTGTAGTCTGAGCTATATTCTTTGCGACAGACACCCCAGGGGTTGTCCTCGGGCTGTACTGGCAATAGCAGGCACATTTTCGCTCCTGACAGGGGAAATAGTGTCAATGGTGGACCAACTGCAGTACAGTCGCAGCCCTCACATCCCTTGACGAAGAGGACTCGTGACTTAAGCTGATGCATAGATCTTTCTTCACTCTTGGGGACGCCTGAGATTGTAGTCTGATCCCAGTTTGTTAATTTAATTTTTTATTTTTCTCTAGGCTACAGCCATGAGACAAAGGGGTGGATACTTTTGCCACCTACACTGGCGGATGGATACCTTTAGCTGTTACAGTTTCTTACTTGACATAACAGCGTCGTGGGAACTTCTGCCAGCGAACGGGCAAATAGAAAATTACTTTATCTCCAAGCTTTCTACTAAAGTTCTAAACCCTTCTTCCCCACTTCTGTGTCTGCCACGTGCAACTGTTTCTGTCTGACTTCCGCTGGCAGTGGGCGGGCTCAAATGGGGGGGCTTGGTTTCTACAATGAGCCCTAACTCAACTCCACCCACTCACTCTCAAACTGCCTTGAGAATCACAGATGGTCTGGAAGCAGCTAACTTATAGCCTCAGACAAGTCTTCCCAAAGGATCGGTTTATAGTCTGCCTACTGGCAGATCTTCCAAAAGCTGTCCTTAAGCCATCAATCATCAGGGAAAAAAAAATTCAGGACATGGAGTAAAATCCATCTCTTGTTCCCCAGACCTCCCCGACTAAAACTTAAGCATGTGGAGAGCAAGGCTCCTGACCCCACAAGCAAGAGAGTCATCTGTGGCATTTAAGGTGTGCCAGGGAAGAGATAAAAGCCCGAAAACAAAATTGCCAAGTGCTGGCACTCGCTGACTCCCAAAAGCTGTTGGGTCCCTGTTTTAAGTGAGGAAAAAGGCCACGGGCTAGTGAATGCCCTGCCAGGCCATCAACAGCCTTGTTAAAAGTGCCGCCTAGAAAGACAGAGTCAGCTGACTGCCCCCAGGCGCCAAGACACATGGGTACATGAAGCTAAGACCTCCAGCAGACCTAGGCTGGGCTACAGACATGACAGGGAACCCAGAACACAGCATGGAAGTGATCTGTTTCTTTCCTTCTGGACACCAGAGTCACTGACTCAGTCCTGGGAGTTTTGGGATGCCACCTCTCCTTTATTGTCGGGTACGGAGGACAGCCTTACCCACCTCACCAGATTTAATTGCACCTTCAGAGTTACTTAATGAAAAAAGATTTCCACCTAAAATAGTGGAGTGCTTCACTCCAGATCCCACTGCCTGTGTTTCTCACATGCACACAGACAGGGCCCTGATTTTACCTTGTTCCTAATTCCAAAAAAATAAATTCTCATGCACCACAAGCTTTTCTCTTCCCAGTTCCCTGTTCTAACTCACTGCTCAGCTAATGGTACAGGACCACCACAGAACCGGAGTCCAGAGATCATCAAGTAAGAAACTGTAACAGCTAAAGGTATTTACACCCCCAGACCCAAAAGGGTCTGGGCGCTATAAAAAGACTAATATAAACATCTATTACTGTGAGATGCTTTTAACAATTAATCACCTGTCTCCTGGATGCCAAACTAGTAAAGGAAACAGGTGCCTTAAAATAATGTCTCTGATAAAGCTTAATATGTTTCAAAATCCATAGGGACAGGCTGGATCTACCTCAGATAAATGCCAACATAAAATAATAATGACTCTTCTCTCTAAGTTTTTTTCTGTGTCACCAGCATCTTGTCAAACAGAAAGTTCCCAGCCACAGCCAAGAGGTATACATGTCTCCAGAGCAAACAGATGACAGATAGCATCCCACAATGCCTGTCTACCTCGGAAAACTCCCATTCTCCATTCCCCCAAGAGCCAACCGACGTCCAAAAGTCAGCTGGAAGCAGTTTTTGAGAGGAACAATGCCCCCTATTCCCATCTACCTGCTTTTTTATAATAAGTGAAAGTCTGGGATGTAAGGATTCTGTCCTTAATTATGTCATCAGCCTGCAACAGCATCCCAGTCTAAAAAGCGGGTAGGCCCTCTGTGCGCCCTTTTCTTTCCTTTCCGCTCCTTCCTTCCATCTGCCCCCCCTCCCATAAAGCTCTAAAAGGTAACCATGGCTGTGATTCCTCCGCCACGAGGAGCAGCAGCACAGCATAACCAACACTGCCTTTCCTCTGCCTCGGGATCTATGAAGATGTGAGCCAGTGGCCTCCCCACCTAGACTGAACCCTCAACCCTGAACCTCAACAAATCCTCCTATCCTTGTCACAGCAGTCCATAAATTACCTCTCCAAGGCAAAACAGGTGCACCCCAAACTAAAGACTGGGCCTAATTATTACAAGCCCATCCCCTAAAGAGCGTTCCCTCAGTGGCTGCCCACGCAAAGTGTGTCCCCCAGCTTCCCAGTCATCGAGTTACTTCCATGGATGCCCTTCTGTCGTCTTCTTTTCCTAGAGGTTGTGTGTTCTCGGTCACTCTGGGAGTGTCTTATAAACCACAGATGTCATCTATGGGGCATAGTTCATGCACGTCTGCACCTCCTCACTGTTCTAACCCGCCCTCAGCAATGGTGCTGCAGGCTGTGTGTGTGTGTGCCTTACACAGTCACACCCAACTATTTCACAGCCTGTGCAGTACAATACACTGCACAAAGGACTAGTGGATGAGAGACAGACACTAGGCATCACCATGGGAACACAGCAAGTGAGAATGACAATCTAGGGCCAGGGAGATGGTGTGACTGGCTGAGCGCCTGCCCAGCATGCGCAAAGCTCTGGGTGTGGATGTACAGGCCTGTCACCTCAGAACTTGAGAGATAAAGACAGGAGGATTGGGAGTTCAGAGATACATTCCACAACACAGGGAGTTAGAGGATTAAAGGACAGTCTGGGCTAGACATCCTGCCTCCAAAGGGAAAAAGTGATAGCTGAAACACGAACAAGCATGTGAAAGTCCGTGTCTCTCCAGTGTGCCCATGTGAAGGAAACCATGGTACACAATTCCACTTACATAAAGCTCCGAAAGATGGCAACTCACTGACAGAAACAGGTGACATCAGCATCAGCGTGAAGGACAACGGGGACAGGACATTTGCTCTTTTGACAGTGGTGGTGTCTGCGGTATGTGTGAGCGTGTGTAAAACTGACTGCGCTTCCTGTGTGGTTTCTCATCATGTGCATTACCCTCAATGAAGTGGCCTGGGACACGTTACCTCGAAGCTCACGCCGGCCAAGGCATAAGCCTTGAAGTCTCCCACAGTTCCTTCCACGGCAGTTAGCACGTAGCCCTCCTTCTGGGAGGTCACAGTGTATTCCAGGTCACTGTGCAGGGGGCCAACGCTGCAGGAAAGAGAGCCAAACAATACAGATGGCTGTCTGCAGCTGCAGAGAACGCGTAGCCTTCTTCCCCAGGAAGCCTGAGCCCCACCTGCCTCAGGAGGCTGGGGACATACCTGTAGGCACCTTTATCATCAGTGAAGACAGTGATCAAGGGTGAACTTGCTCCCTTCTCACTGATCACAATCTCGACTCCCTCCAGCTCTGGGTGGATCTGGCCTTCTAGGAACAAGCCCGCCTTCCCGTGGATCTCAATCAACTTCCCTGGACAGTTTTCTAAGGAGGAAACAAAAGGATGGGCTGGTGCTACGGAGGAAGGAGAGGCACCCGCTGGAGTCCTCAGAAGAAAGAGGACCTAGACCCGAGCCATTAAAGATGGAAGCTCTGGCTGGGGAGATGTGCAGTTCTGCAAGTGAGGACACGCGTTTGAATCCCCAGTACCCGCGTCAAAAGCCAAGTTCAGCCATGTGCCTATAACCTTGGGGGTGGGGGAGGGAGGGAGGGAGGGTGAAGGCGACATGATGGCTGGCTGGGGCATACGGCTGCCAGTCCGCCTCCAGGTTCCGTGAGACCCTATCTCACGCGAGTAAGGTGGGGACAGAGCGAGACACCTGAAATCTTCCTCTGAGGGGTGCTGCTCACCTCAGACCCGTGGGAAGATGGAAGGGGTGGGGCGCACACACCAGAAACTCACTCTTCCGGCACACTCAGCCCTAAACACACACCACACAAATGTTCCACAGGCAAGCACTGGGACAACTGTTCCTGGAAAAGACCTTCCCTCCACACCTGGGAAAAGGAAGACGCACACTGCCCAAACCATTCAGAAGCAGCAAGCTCAAGCAGGTCTGGTAACGGTGGTATGGCTTCTCCTCTACCTTTTGGATCGATCAAATCCAAGGAAGACAGGTCCTTCTCCAAAAAACACCTCACCTACACTCACAGAAGCTGCCTTTACTTAGACCATTCACCTCTTTTTTTCATTTTTTTCTTGGTTTTTCAAGACAGGGTTTCTCTGTATAATAGCCCTGGCTGTCCTGGAACTCGATTTGTAGACCAGGCTGGCCTCAAACTCAGAGATCCACCTGCCTCTGCCTCCTGAGTGCTGGGATTAAAGTCATGTGCCACCACCGCCGGGCACCCATTCACTTCTTTATCCATGCAGCTGACCATCCGTCCATGGGGTCCATCTACTAGCGACACCAAGTACAAAGAGGCTTTGGGTGGCATACAGACATGGCTGCGCAAATGTAACACAAAACTCACTCAAACACATCCAAAGAGAAACAAAGGCAGGACACTCGCTCATGGAGTGGACACCTACCTCCACTGACAGTGGCTTCCATGGACGGGGGGTAAAAGAGGAGCTCTTTGGATGAGGGTGTGACCGTGATTTTCTCTCCAGACCTGAAGGAGTCAGAATGGCTCAGGTTGGCTGGCTGGTTCTATCCACAGAAGAGAGAGCGCAGTGGAGAGCACAAGACTTACCGGGCCCAGTAGGAGAAGTCGTAGGAGAAGGGGCCCTGTAACTCGTCCACCATCTCTTGGCCGGGAGGCCTGGCCCTGCCGGTCTTCTCCCTCTCCTGCCTGCGGGTCTCGATCTCTGCCAGCTGCTGCTCCCTCCGCAGCTCCTGTGCAGACTTCAGAGGGCCCAAGACCAAGGCTGGTTCGCTGTCGATGGAAGACCTGGAGACGAGCGAGAAGAGGTTGGCTATGGGACACGGTGCTCATCCTGCACTGAATGGGAACCTGACAGTCCCACAACTGGGGACTCACGAGTAAAGGCCAGACACCTTACAGTGGCACACAGCAGCACAATCCTTCAGTAAAATCATTAACTGGGGCTGGAGAGAAGGACCAGCTGTTGGCTGCTCTCCCAGAGGAGCTGGGTTTGACGCCAGGCCCTCTTCTGGCCCCTACATGCACATGGTAGACAGACATGCAGGTAAAA